AGGCAGCCTACATCCACAGGAGATCTGTGGTTAGTTCTCCAAGATGTTTGGAAAAACCTACTGCTGAGTTCCTTCAAAAACTGTGTGCAAGTTTACCTAGAAGAATTGATGCTGTTTTGAAGGCAAAAAGGGTGGTCACACCAAATATTGATTTGATTTGGATTTTTCTTCTGTTTGCTCACTTTGTATTTTGTAAATTGATAAACATAAACAATTACAATATATATTTTTGAAAGCATTCTTACTTTACAGCATTTTTTCACATCTGCCTAAAACTTTTGCACAGTACTGGAAGGCAAAAAGGGTGGTCACACCAAATATTGATTTGATTTGGATTTTTCTTCTGTTTGCTCACTTTGTATTTTGTAAATTGATAAACATAAACAATTACAATATATATTTTTGAAAGCATTCTTACTTTACAGCATTTTTTCACACCTGCCTAGAACTTTTTCACAGTACTATATATCTGTAACTTTACCAAAAGTCCAAAATTGCAAACTTTGTCATCTTTCCTCATGGCTTCTTAGTCATGATGTCTACATATTTTATTCCATATCTGAAGCTAGCTGCTGGGGAGCACACATCTTTAGAAGCACCTGTGAAAATACAACGTGGGTCTGCAATAGTAGTTCATCTTCAGAAATGTATGTCAGGAATTTATTAGATCTAAAGATTCTAAGAGCAACTAATTTCTGGATGCAGTTAAGGCAAAGTACTGATTTATTGCAGCTTAAGTGGGCATTTTTCTTAGAGATTAGTCTCAGTGAAGGGTTGCAGTCCTAATTCTCTAAGCTTATCAAGAGAATCTTCTTGGTCAGGCCAGAGTTCAGTGTGCATTTATTTAATTTGGAAAGCTTGCTAACCAATTTCTTTTATTTTCAGAATGTGTGTGTGAGCCGCTCTCGAGAAGAAGCCTTGAGGACTGTACCTAATCATTTGTAGCTCGCTGCACTTCCAGCATTGTCCCAGGCTGCTACCCAGTGTCAACATTAAGGAAACTTCTCAGGGACAGGATGATGAAAGCCTTCAAAGGAGGCAGCCAGCAACACAGTAATGTGTGCTCTCCTCTTTCAGAATGGATTTCAAGGCAAACGGAGCATTAAAGGCTAAAATGTACCAAGTATTTATAGAACACAGGATGAAATTAGTTTTAACTTAATATATGTTTTCTTCAGGCAGTCATTCTTGATCTTGAATGTAACGTATGAATTGTCAAGTGTTATTTTGAGATTCTTCTAGAGTTAGAATATTTTCCTAAGCTGTTCTTTCTGTTAAAAACCATCCTTCTCTAATTATTTTATTCAAATATTATGCACACAAAATCTTATGCACGTGAAAAATGTTTTAAAATATTTCATCTACCAGACAGGATATCCATCTCCATCAAAATTCATTCCAGTTTTTTTCCCATTTCATAATTACATTACTTTGGTTGATAACACAAAAAGCTACATTTTTTAAAATCAAGTCAGTGTTATAAAGTGGACTATTAAAATTTCCATTTTGGGGGGAGGCAATAATGCTGTATTAGTTGGTATAATAACACAAACTTTCTAAATAATTTTATTAAAGGTTCTATTTCCATTTTAGCGTCTAAAATATTTTCTCTGTTACACTCCTACAACATGAAGTGCTTCCAGAGCCTCCTGGATAATTTATTCAAATGATTTTTGATAGATAATATGAGTAGATTTCTTTCTACTTCATATACAAAGTAAAACCATTTTCTGATCTTTTTTTAAAAAAATCCCTAATTCCATTTGAGAATACTGATGGATACTCTAATTAGCCAGAGTTGTCCTGCATATTATTCACAATTTCTATGAAGACCATTCCATACATTTTTCTTCAAGGAGATTCCAATAAAGCCTCTGAAAATTAAAATAATCTTATACAGACAATAATTAGACAAAGTAAGAACATGGAACATGGTTATTGGAGATTAAATAACCTTATTAGTGCAATGTGCAACACCAGTTTTGAAAAATACAAATGACTAAGGAGCTCTAGTGATTTCATGGCATTTATGAACTTCTTCCTTTTTTCTTGAACCAAAGACACAGATGAAGTATTAGCTTGCTTTGTGTGTTTTTTGGGGGGGAAGAATATTAGTGATTCCCTCCGTTTTTCACTTAAAATATAGGCATAGGTAAGATGAAATATATTCTTTAGTGGAGGAGCTGGCAGATGTCATGGATTAATTACCATCATGCAAATTCCATAATGAAGGAGGGGTTCACTCCCTAAGAAAGTAATAATTAGTTTTTCAAATTGTCTTTAAGATTTTGCAGGACCATCAAATCTTACAAGATTTCATTTAACTTACACATTCCTGCCTGAAGCCTCCTGAGATATCAGTGTTCTTGACTGACATTCATGCAAGAATTTCAAAATGTGGGAGATTTCACAATGGCACATGATTTCTGCCTTTAAGTTTTTTTTTTATATGCTTTTAAAAACATTAATTTCGGGTGTGGACACTGATGTTTGCAAGTGCTTTGTTGCTAAGCCCTGATTTAGCATTCTGGTGTTCTTTCACAAAAGAACCAGCACATTCTTCAGCCCCATCATCATCATCATCATCATCATCATCATCTTTGGAGATTAGCATCTACCACTTCTCCTGTGTGGCTTGAGAAGAAGGCATAAGAGGGATGAAACATAGTGAAAAATGTACCCCTGTAGTTGGATTCTCAAGGATGCACAGAAGAATGCAGGTTAATTTGCAGAATTTTAGCATCCTGCTTTCAAATGGAATTTGTACAGAAGAAATTCCTCTTTGAGTTTGCATGTTAAGTCATATATATATATTTGTACTAAGCCATTATATAATGTAAATATTTGTGTGTTAGAAACCAAGCAGCAGATTAGATACCTGTAAATTCTTGAAACAAAAACAGTTTTGTCCTCTCCAGTTGGAAAGTGTTTTTTAAAATCTCACTGTCTATATAGATACCTTACTGAATCATGCTATTTCAATGGTAAATGTTCTGTGCAATGTACCATGTTAGCTTTGCAAATGAGGCTCAGATTGTTTCTTTATTTTTGTGTAGCTGGTATTATAATGTAAGATGTTGCTATGCTGTGAATTCCTTGTTTTGCAATGCATTCAGTGCTGTGGATGTAAGCCAGAAAGTCAAACATACATCAGAAAGACAAAAAGATGGTGTTAAAATCGAAATTACTTAAACCACATATAAAAAAGCACTTGAGGTGTATTCTATCATAAAATAATACATATTTGCACTGTAAAGTATTTATTCAGGTAGATAATTATTAACTCTGTTTACCTGACTGGAAGATACACCCCCCCCTCCAAATTACCCTTGAATGAGAGGGAGGGTGCGGTTGAAAATAACTGGCAGCACAGAGGAAGAGAGAGGCTGCTTTTCTGTAATGCCTAAATGGGGCTTCTCTCTCTCTCCTTTCCCCATCCAAATATATCTCCCACCAGTTTTCTTGATTTCATTTTCCAGTGAAGCTACCCCAAAACTCTGCATCTACATCCTCCCTTTTTCCCAGCTTCCACTGGAAGGAGAGAAGGGACTCTGTGTATGTGTGCATATATGTTTCTCTGTGCAAGACTGATTAATATGTGTATGTGAAAGAATTATTGGCATGTGCACACAGGGAATATTTTTAGTTAATACTAATGTTTGCCTGATCCTGTCCTTATTTGGATCTTGCTTTTTAGGAAATATGAGCACACCTGCATAGAGGTGTAACATGCACAGGTTACGTCATACATAAACATTGAAAAGGGTGGACATCTCCAGGATTGGTTTCAGTTGGAGTGGCAACCATAAGCCTGACATAGTAAATATACTTGTCTATTTTTTTTCTCCATTTACTTTTCTTTTGGGGGGATGGGTTGCCTTCTCTTTGGATAGATACAGGTAGTCCTTGGCTTATGTCCATTCGTTCAGCAATTGTTCAAACTTGTGATGGTGCTCAACAAGTGGTACTTACAACCGGTCCTTGGAGTTCCAGCTTTTGCAGCACCCTCATGGTCATGAGATCACAATTTCTGATGTTCCCTGCCAGCTTCCCAAAGCAATGTCAATGGGGAAGCCAGCAGGAAGTTAGAAGTCATGGTCACATGAGGTCCTTGCATAACAACAGCAACCGGGACTACTTGAATTGCTGTCGCTAAGTGGCATAGTCACGTGGCATTGTGCTTTATGACTCTGTTGCAGTTGCCATCATAAACCGAGGACTACCTGTACAGTACAAGAAGGGACTAGGAAAGGCACCCCTCTTGAACCTTAAAGATAGGTCTCCTCTCTTATTCAGCAGTTGTGTTCTATCAAGATACTTTTTGAACTTCTCTGGATATGGGCCACCTGGTGGGGTTAATTTAATTCTTTAAAAGTTGAGGGTTATCCAGAAGAAAAAAGTGTAGATCTGTAGATCTGTTTTGAATCTTGTATAGACAAGTGAATTTTACTCTTCTCTAAATTGGTTCAGGCAGTAATCTTATTTGAAAATATCATTTCTTCATAGATTTCCTTTATTGGAGAAGAATATTTGTTTGCCTATCTTTATATTTTTTTAATGTGTACGATTCTGTGGCTAAATATTTAATGTATAGTAAATATTTTTATAGGTTATATCTAAATATACTGTGTTGACAGTGGTTTCTTCTATTCAAAGAAAAGGTTATATAACTGAAAAACCATTGTATGCAATACAAATTATAAATTTATGTTGATACTTGAAAAATCTAAGAAGTTATTGATTCTGATTTAACAAGCTGTGATCTTAAATACAAAATTTGGAAGTAAACCTCTTGAAATTAGTTGCACTATCTTCCAAGTAAATCTTGGAAGTTGAAATCTTAAAAATTGTTTACTATCAGCTTTGTCTAGGTATACTAGTAATCACCTCCAGAATATCTCCTGCGTACTTTGTTTCACAGGACTTACTATCTTTTTTAGGTGTAAAAAGTGAATTACCGAGACATGCCTGTAAATATGTGGATCTTAATCAAACTGTTATCAGCAGTGCTTCTAACTGTATCCTTTAGGCAAATCTCAGTCTGCATCTGTATAATGTGTGAAATAGCCTATAGGAGTAATGTGGAAATGAGAATGTTATAAACATCATTTCTTTTCTCAATTTGTATGGTGGACCCATATGATTTTGAATTAAATTTTAATTCAGATGTGACTGTTCATTTATTTAATGCAGGTTTTTAAAATATAGTTGGGCAATTTATTATTTTTCACAAGAGACTAATCTTGTGTAGTCTTTCTCCAAAACAATAAAATATCAGTTCTAAATTGAAGTACACTTTAATTTTCTGCCTTTGGGGTTGCATTTTGTTACTATAATTAAGATATGTAATCATCAGACAAACATTTGTAAATGCAAGTCTGTCCTAGAAAGCAATTTTAGATGATATAATACATTACTATATTCATATAAAACTAAAACTAAATGCACTGTTTTAAAATAAGTGAAAGAAAAAAAAACTTGAGCAAATGACCTTACTTTAAGGACTCAAAAAGTTTTATGCCATGTATGAACAATTTGTGTGGAATTCAATTTGCAGACTTACAAAATTTAGTGCTCTTAATTACGTAAATATCAATGAAGTTTCATCTGATTATCAAGAATCCATTCAGTTGTAATAATGCTTCTTTTGACTGTAAAGACAATGAAACAGTGTGTGGAGTGTGCTTGAGATTGTGACTTTGCCCTTCCTAGCAGCAGATGTGATTCTGCTTACCCCCAGCTGTTGTATTCAGCAGCTTTGGACCCCACTGATCCATGTGGTATTCCTGAAACTGCTGTGTGATGGGAGTAACAAGCAAGGTATATGGGGGTTGTCTCTGACTTGACAAACTTCCTCTGCTCTGCCTGTTTATTCCATGGACCCTGAGTGTGTTTGGAGGTTCTAGCAGTATACCAATCTTTTGAGAGAAGATTGATATACTCCTATCTGGGATGGTTGTCCTCTTACACCAATTGCAGAGTTTGGGAGGAATACATTTGGAGCAATGAGGGAGGAAGGGGACACCTGCCTAGCCAAAACAGCCCTGGTGAACAGTGGGGTGAGGTGTCACACCCTGATTGCGCTCACATCCTCATTCCATGGAATTTATACAGTGGGCCCCTGAATCCTCCAGTCCATGCTTTTAAACATCCAAGTGATGCAAACATCCATTGCATCAAAGTGTATAGAGCAAAATGTCATCGCCATGATAATGACACACTGCTCCTTCTGCCCAAATTAAAACTTTTTTTCTAGATACTTAATAGCATTAAGCTAGTTTTAGCTTGATTTGGTCTTCTTATGCTGATGTTTTGTTCATGTATTGAGACAGAGTTTGGTTCTGTTTATATGACGTCACAATATTCTCAATAACTATCCAGCTGCTGATTCAGCTTCTACACAGTATAACTTCAAATAGCTTTTATATTTAGATAATTAGCTGTTACTGTGAACAACTTAAATTTGAAATATCTAGATAAAATATATGAACAAAAGTTACAGCTGAGAGTTGGCAACATTTTATCATATTACAATTCTGTGTTTCTGATGCATCAATAGTGCTAATTAGAATGAAAATGAGAAATGATTGAACAGGTGGTAAAGCTTCTATTCCAGTAAGTAACGTATTAATATTTTGCTTTTAACTACAGCACCAGCAGCCCAGTCATATACTCTGAAATAGCAGTAGCTTCATACACAGTGGTCACTCTTACAAGACTTTTGATTTCTGTCAGGTTAACTGTAAGCTTGATTTCATTGCTTAGTGTTATCAGCCAACTCTTAAGCCTCCAAGTTTGTGACTTAATAAAGTAGAATATTTTGCATTTTATATACTACTAATTACATTTCTTAATTTGCTGGTTTCAGCATTTAGTACATCTAAAATTCAGCCGAGTTTCTGCATTAATCTTAACAAAAATGTCAAATCCAAATGTGAAATTGTCCAGGCAACTGTCCAGATGTCCTAGTATCATCTAGAAAAAAAATGGAGCAAGGCCCAATGTTTAGGAAATTGAAGACAACAATTTGATGCATCACAGTGGTTCTATATTGCATGCTGTTTTCCAGAGAGGGCTTTCCTTCTTTTATATCATCTGCTACCTTTCTAGCTTTCTGAACTAATTGTTACGGAGTTTGGGTGCTGAGTTGTAAATGTATAATATACATGACTGAAAAGCTGAGGCAGTAACTTTTAGATACAAGACTTAAAAATCAGGCAAAGTCTGAGAATGACAGAACACAGTTCTTTATTTACATGTTATGTGTCATCAAGTCTTTCAAGAGTAACAGTCCAAAATCAACTTCTCTGAGTCCTCAAGTTTCAGCTCTGTTGTATACATGTTACCATTATCTGTCTACAAAAAACAGATTTTGTTATAAAATCAAAAAACAAAGCCTTTACTTGTCATAACAAACTGCACATTTAAGTAATCCTACAGAAACCAGACAGTCTCACCAGTGGTCCTTAAGTGATGACAAAGCTTATATTGGCCTACACTAATGGGCAACCTTTCTCAGTTGGTAGGTGCTACTTGGAGGCCATGACCAGTGACATCAAAGGGTCTGTGGGTCTAAATTTGTTCAATTTGTGCATATTGTGAGGGGTTTCTAAGTAGAAATACATTTTGCCTCACAGAAGCTTAATGTATCTATTCCCACTCTTTGTTGTTGCTAAAAATGTACCTGCAAAACTCATATGTGTGCTTTGGAGTCATCCATTTATTCCAAAATCAAAACAATACTTAAAATGTTCTCAAATAGGCTGAAAGTTCATGCAGCCAGGTTTATTTTCTTTGCCCCTGTCACGGTTTTTGGAAAAAGATGCACAATTTGTTTCAGATCTGTTTACTCAGAAATAACTCCCACTGAATTATGGAATTTGCTCCATCATGTATGAATTTCAGTTTGTAGATACAAGTTTCTTCAGAAATATTAATAGTCTTGTGATGCATTAAAAATTAGCAAACATATATTACAAGCTCTTGGGTAGTCTTTATTTAATAAATTTATGTACTGCCTGGCTCCCAGCAACTCCAGGTGGTTACCCAATAATACATGTGTTTATCTTTAAGGTGTCACCAAAGACTGTTTTTATTCTAATCAACTAACACAATTATGTGTGGTGGAAATGAGCAAGAAAAAGTCACTTTTTAACATTCTATTTCACTATTTTCAATACACCTTTATCCAGGAACTGAAAGAAAATAGTTTTAAGGAAGGATGTAAACATGTTACAGGAAGCCTGTAAAGCAGTGTGTTAACTGATGGCACTTACTAAAAATTTGAAGCCCAGATTTAATTGAATAGAATGTCAAGTCATTTTGCTTGATGAAAATGAACGTGTTAGCTGTATTTAAAAGATACCATCATAATATCTCCCCTCTGAAGCAAAATAAAGCGTACTCCCCAACACACACACACTGTCCAAATAGATAACTACATTCAAATAACAACACACATACATCTACACTTTCCCAGCTGCAGAGAAAATCACTTACACATGATTCACAAGGGTACTTCAGCCTTGCAAGACAAAGTTGCTGCCAGTTGCTAAAGAATTAGCAGAAGTATTATTAATCACTACCCAGTTGGTCATTATGAGGTGAATGTCTTTCAGTCACATTCCATGTGGAGAGCTGGAAAGCTTCCATTAGGGCTGTATCTCAGAGTTCTGTTTAATTAATAATCATTTCTCCAGAATTCGCTCAAATTTAGGGTTGATAAACGAGAAACCAGCAAATGCAGACTGATCCATAGAATCTATTAAGTTTTTGTCACTGTACGATAGTCGAGGTTTCTCACTCAAAAACTCTCTGTCAAAATTGTTATAGTCACCTGGTGATTTCTGTAAAGAAGAAGAGAAGCGATTAAAAATAGTTGAGATGGTCTAAACTGCCTAGATAATTATGCAGGGCATCAAATCCATGGAGCAGTATGTCAATCACGGGTGGCCTTTCTTCCCTCTCAAACAACTCTTTGGCCATTTTGCTAAGTGGCCATGAAGAACTGAACTCAACCTACAGTATTTCATGCCCTCTTTTCAGGGAGGTTGTGACAATAAAAATGGGTAGGGTCAGGAATGTTTGAAGAATTAACTATTTGCAAATTCTAGTATGAACTGAACTGACAAGTATATAGCTTAGAACTTGGTTATTTACTGGCTTTCACATTTTTTCAATGTTTTTGATACCTTTTAAAACATTGGGGATATTTTGAACTTAAAATTAGTTTTTTCGAAAAAAAATATGCCAACTAAATACTACGATGTTACAGGTAAAATATATGCACAAGTGAGATGGGAACAAGAATGATTTACTCATCCCCCTAAAGTAATCTCCATGCATTCTGCCTTTAGATCCAGCTCCATGAGCAGAACGTAACGGATGAATGCATCTCAGTTCCATGCTCTGGAGTGTGAGGAATAGATGTTGAGGCTACATACCACTTTTGGTTTGAAAGGAGGTTCCATCTCTCTCTTTTCCAGTGTTGCCCAATTAACTGCTTTGAAAAAAGGATGATCTCTGATGTTTCCAGTTATTCCCAGTCGCTTTGTTGGATCTCTTTCAAACAGCTACAAAATATGAAAACATTCTTCATTCAGTTACTGTGACAAACTACAGTTCTGAAAGAAACAATGTTTTTAATAGCTTTTTAGATCAAGGACAGAGAACCTGTGTTCCTCCAGAAGTTGCCAAATTCAGCATCCCTGATTATGCTAGCTGCCAGTTCTGGGGCTTACAGTTTAGGAATTTCCCCAGTTTCAGTTTAGGTAAGATGCTGAAACTGCTATAGCAGATAGCAATCTACAGAGCTAAAGCCTCTAATTTTAGTCAACGTTGGTTCTTATATGGATTCTGGAAAGGGAAATTAGATGTAAGAAATACTTTCTCATTTACTCCTCTCAATGGAGTGATCTCTTCTGTTGCTTGAGACATGGTACATCCTGTTTTATTATGGAAGTCTTTTGGCCAAGAAGAATGGCATTCTGATTAAGATCGGGGAGAATTTATTTGGTCCACATTTTTAAAGTGATCTGATTAGAATGTAAAACAGAATGCAGATTTTTTATAGCTTGTGCACTTCTCCAAATTTGCAATGATGCTCTTGCCTTTGAAACTTTACAGACAGACTAAATGCAAAGATTATGCAGGTTTTTAAAACACTACAGACATAGATTGATCCATGTATCTATCAAGTGGACACGTCTAGCCAAACAACCTTAGTGCATGTAACATCAAAGGAACTTTTGACCACAGAACTGCATGTGACTATACAATATGCCGTAGCAACAAACAAGACTGCAGTCCTGTACCTCAGCTCTGTTTCACACACATACATACAATTTGGATAGGAGGAAGGACAACTTAAATTTCTCTGTAAAAGCACCATTAACAGCTGCTTTAGCGTATTAGATTGCTCAATTCTAATATTCCCAATGTTTTTCATTTTTGTATACAGAAAATATGTATTAGTCTTAGCCAATGTATACCTTCTCTAGTATATCTTTGGATTCCTTGGTAATCCAACGTGGGTAATGAGGAGTATCTACTCGTATTGACTCAAATAACTCATCTTCATCATCACCGTGGAAAGGAGACTGTCCAATAAGCATCTCATACAATAAAACTCCAAATGACCACCAGTCTACAGAAAATGTATACTTCAGGCCTTGTAAGATCTGTGGCAAATGTAAGAAAAAACCCATACATGAAATGCAACAGAAGCTTTTCCTCACAAGATTTGTCTCTGTGTGTGGTTTTTCATCCATAATAGAAGGATCAGCAATAGTTAGGCACCTCCTCTGATGTGATAACCGTATTCATACATAACTAACATTCCCTTCTAGGAACCAACTACAGCAAGATTTGGGCTCACTCTCTTCTCTGACATAGGAAAATCACGAGCATTTCGCTTCTGTTTTAGCTGCAGTTTATAGTTACAACTGGATCCCAATTAACTGAGGCTGATTGTAGCTGCAATGCAGTGAATAACTTTGCGAAACTGACTTATTGCAATAAACTGTTTTTAAAATTAAATATTGTTGGGCTCAAATATAATGTTCATCACTCAGCTACTGATTGCCAAACAAAGATAGGGATGATCTGATAGAAATATGGATCTAAGACTTTCTTGCACTCTACTTTATAAAAATAGACCATATTTATTATATCTAACTAAGGGGGCACGGTGGCGCAGCGGCTTAATGACGCTGAAAGTTGCCAGCCAGAAATGGTCGATGCTTCAGCGGTTCGAGTCCAGCCTTCGTGTTAACA